TTGACAACACATAAAATAATTCTGCTTGTTTGCCTCAGCCCCTTCGAGAAAATTATGCACGCCCTTAATGTACTCGGAGGTGCGTCTATCACTGTACATCCATTGTCGGTTCATCTACGTGCATTATATATAATTAAGTGTGTCAAAAACAATTACAGAACATCATGAATAGAAAAGTGACCAAATTAATAGAAGTTCATCATCACATTAAAACCAAAGTACAGTAGTGATCAAATGTTATTACTGAAAAGATAAATACATAAAGTTCTCATTGAACAACATATAGCTCTCTAGAGCATCTAATTAAACCATAAATTAAAACTATGAAAAACATTTCAATGCAACAACAAATGTGATCATAATCGCAACTAAGATAACAATTGATCCAACGACATAATGATACCAAGCCTCAGTATGAATGTCATATTTTCTAATCTTTCTAATCTTCAAGAGCATTGCATCCATCTTGATCTTTTGATCGTCGACGACATCCGCAACATGCAACTCCAATTTCATCTTCTCCTCCTCAATTCTTTTCAATTTTTTCTTCAAGTAATTATTTTCTTTTTGAACTAAATTTAACCTCTCGACGATAGGGTCGGTTGGAATTTCCGATTCACATACCTCCTAGATAAAACCATCTATGTCACGTTGGTCGGCATAATTGTCATAAACACTAAATGAAACAAATAGTTATAAAAGATAATATATACCACGCCGAATCATAAACAGGATGAGGGCCACCGGAGGCGGATAGCAAAACCATCGCACTATATAATAACAAACAATAATAAAAGTATGAAAATTATACAATTATCTACCTAAATCATACAAGTAAGAATTTTTCTTTTATAAAGAAGATAAGAACAAGAGGCTCACCCCGGTGGTGCCGGCAACGAGATCGGTGCGTGCGATCGACGGTGGTGAGGTCGGGAACGGGACAAGAAGGACCGCCAAACCTAGACAAATCTTGAGGAAAATGGAGGTTGGACAAGGAGCTTCGAGAGGAGAAAGCTTAAGTGTGGCTCAGGCATTTCATCGAACACCTCATGTGCATAGGAGGTGAGCTAGAGCACCACAAACCTCTCCCACGGCCGGCCCAAAAAAACAGAGCACTGGCTCTGTTCGCAAGCAGGGGCGGGGCTATATATAGGCCTCTCTTTAGTCTCGGTTAGTGGCTAAAACCGGGACTAAAGCACAACCTTTGGTCCCGGTTCCAGCCACCAACCAAGACTAAAGGTGCCGGGCTAGGAGCGAGTCCCATTGGTCCCGGTTCATGTCTGGAACCAGGACCAAAGGGGTCAGACGAACCGGGACCAATGGCCCCCGAGGCCCGGCCGGCGCCCTGGCATCACGAACCGGGACTGATGCACCCTTTTGTCCCGGTTCGTGAGTGAACCGGGATTAATGCCCTTTTCCTGGCCTCAACCAAACCTCTGTTTTCTACTAGTGTTAGCTATGCCAAGGATACAAAATGTACGATCGACCAAGAGACATTTGGCACTCGGCTTCCAATGTTCTCCTTGATGTTTTAGATACCACTGGAATGCTTAAAAGCATCAACGATATGGTCATCAAGTAAGGGTCGGACTTTAGGAGCACAAAAAATCCATAAAGAACAACTTCTAGAAGAAGTCATACGAAATCCTCATGGTACCACAATATTAGGCCTTCCGGCTAAGCGATGGGCCGGCCCACTTTGGAACGGTACCACAGTGCGAACAAGGTTTCTCCGGTTAGTTTTTTTATTGGTTTTTATTTCGGTTTTCCCTTTTCCGTTTTCTTGTTCTCTTTTAGTTTTTTTGCTTATTTTGTATTTTTTATAATTTTCAAAAAAGTGTTCAGGATTTCATAAAAACTTTCACAATTCCAGAAAATGTTTGTGTATTTCAAAAAAATGTTAGTATAATTTGAAAAAAAATATTCGCATATTCGTATTTTGTTTGGAGTTTTAAAAATTGTTCATAGATTTAAAATAAAAATCATGTTTTCAAATTTTGTTCAAAATAACCGTTGTGTCCCATGGGCTTCTTTCGCTGCTCTCTTCACGCTCGAGTTTCAAAAAATGTTCATATTTTTTGAGAATTCTTCACCTTTTCTAAGATTGTTCATGTTTTAAAAAGTTGTTCAAAAATTTGACCATTGTACTCAACTTAGCAGGATAGAGGGCAGCATATTATATGCACATTACAGTACAGTATCATACGTAGGTTATGTACACATATGGTGCGCACACTAGGCCGGAACCAGAGCAAAGTGAGTACGAGTGTGTGACAGACTTTCAACACAAAGAAAAGAAAAGAATGCAAAACTCTAAGACACAGGGAATCGACTGTACGTCCAAGTCCAACTATGGAAGAAATTTCAACTCATTTGGAAGAAAATTCGCCATATTCAGATAAGGTGAGAGTGCACACTGGAATGGAATCTGCCTCAATGTTCTGTTTGCTCGGCATCATTGATCTTGTAAATGGCAGGCAGACAGACAGGCACGCGGGCCGGAGGCTGTCATGGATGGGCTAGTGAACAAACGCTGCGTGGCATGGATAAGATGATCCACAGATTGAATCCTGTTCAACCTCTGTTCCATGGAGAACGTCAGAGCAGAAGAAGATTTTGTAAGGTCTTGTGAGAATAATTAATAAAGTGGTCGTATGCATCACCCAGATGCAGAGGCCCGGGGTCATCCTCCTTTTCTAAAGAAAAAGAAGAAGCTCGGCAAAATCTGTTGTCATGTGGTGGTAAGTCAATCATCCCCCTATTTTTTCTCTCTCTTCTGGAGCAGGCACCTAATCATTTTGTATAAAATGATTTTTCTAGCTTGCCTTGCCTCTAGTACTAGATAACAAGTAGAGAAAATAAAAACAAAAAATTATTGAAATGAATTGAAGAAAGTTTGCGTGTCATTCTAGCATGCACATGATGATACCATCCAATCCCGGTCCACGCGGAGCACTCATAATGATTTTTCCTGTATTTCCTTTCTTCTAGAAAGTAATATTTTGTGGAGCTGGAAGATTGAGCTGGTCAATGAGGCCATCACAAACCACACAACTTTTTCCACGCGCATCACCATCAGTCTTGATGCCTACAGCTAGTTGCCATTGATTGTTGGCAAGAAAGAAACCCTGTTGATATTGCTGCTTGTGTTCATCAAAACCTCTCGGAAAATACCCATGTCCCGAGATGAAATTCCCCTTCTCCCGGCAAGAAAGGACTGGTCAACACTTGGCTGCAGGGCTTCTCCACCATTTTGTTTCTTCCTGGAAATTATCTTCTCAAGATAGTGAGGTGCTGTGCTCCTCTCTGAAAGTAGTCTGCTCCTTTACCGCCAAACAAAAAGTAGTCTGCTCCTGTGGAACTGGCGCAACTACTCTAGCATAATAATTCCACTTCATTTTATCTTCTCACGTTCGTTCACGAGCACAATTTAATATGTTGGAAAACAAAACACACGGAAACATTTCCCATCATTTTTTTGTTTGGCACATACATGCACTTGAGATTACTTTGTTGATTTCTACTCCCTCCGTAAAGAAATATAATAGCGTTTAGATCACTACTTTAGTGATCTAATGATCTAAACGCTCTTATATTTTTCTTTACAGAGGGAGTAGTTTTCTCGAACAACGGAACAATGATTAAATTTTATCAAAGCTGTGAAGTTCAACATGCATATTCGTGAAGACTTTTTGTGATTTCAGGAAGACGATCGTCCAAGCTGTACATACATGGTCCTGTTAGGAAGTGGATTTTTCCTAACCAGTTATCCACACAACCTATATCCTGGCCCTCCATCCAGGGTCATGTCCCATCAACCTGCCCCACCGTGTTGTTGGCCATGAAGTGTACTCCCTCGCCATATTCACATGCATGTTACGGCTCTTTAAACGAAATTTACAGAATAACCAAATATGTCACCGTTACTTTTAAATAAATTACGCAAATTTAAATTCGTTTATGTGTTTGAGTTTCTCACAGCCAGCTCTACAAAACAAGTCTAATATCAATATATTTCAAACTAAATTGTGAGCCCAAGATAAATTAAATTGTGTGTGGCTCAAAAAAGTTCCATAAACATTTCATCAAAGTTCAGCCAAGTTGTTGATAAGGTTGATAAGGTTCTTGTTTCCAGATACATTTTGTAGGAAAGTTCATTCATATTTCTAACAAAGTGCAAACCCACTATTTGGAAGGTTCTTCAGCCCTGATTATATTTATTTGGCACTTTAGAATAAAATGAAAAGTTCTTCACAGTTTAAAGAAAAAAATTTGTTTAATGTTTGAAATGTATCCAAGACTGTACTTGTTCTAAAGGGCTTGGCGTCACGAGTTCAAATATGTAAAAAGTTTCAAAAATGACTTTTTGGTTTTAAAGATATGTACCATCTAAATTGTTAAAAGAAAATGAAAAACAATGGGGAAGCTAATGTCTGCCATGCATGTGTCAGTACTTGCACACGGAGAGAGAGAGAGGGAGAGAGAGACAGAGAGAGAGAGAGAGAGAGAGAGAGAGAGTCCACGCACATGCAAGAGCGCGCATCCGCATGGACTAGCAACGGCAGTGATTCGCGTTGTGCGCCTAACTAGTTAGGATTCGCCATATTCAGTCGTATTCAGAAGACGACGATATTGAGTGAAACCTGTGCCGATATAGTTCTGTCCGGTCCTGAAACAGTTGTGAACCGGATCCCCCGCACATCTTCACTTACGGATTTGACGGTACACTGTACAAGTCTCCATCCTCGGACTGAATCAAATCGAAAGGATGATTCTGACAGCTCAAGTGACCTAAAAGATGTTTAGAAGTAAAGCGGGAAGTCAACGATCCTCTGTTTTCCTCACTACATGGCTCCGCTTTTGCTTCTATGCATACTGTCTACTGCAGGATGAATCTTTGTAGGAAAATAAAGAAACATTCTAGTTTGCCTACCTTCTATACTGAAGGTAGTACATGATAACAATTCCCAAGTGAAGTACTTTCAATTTCTCTGCAAAACCCTCTGTTATTGTTCTTAACAAATGCAATTGAATAGCCTTTGCGTTCGAATCCGACAAGGTCATTTTCTCAGACAAGTAGTCCATTGGGCGTTGTTATTCTTGTCAGGAGAGCCTTCAGTGAGACAATATCTTATATTTAATTTTAACCAACGATAATTGTGGCTACAAATGAGGTACAAGCAGTGTAAAGTACAGAATGATATCGATAGACATACAACTGGTGCTCATCTCCCAAGTACTAATGGTATCATGATAAATACTATTTCTGCAGTGACCAACTAACTAATTTTAGCATGCTCTCTCTTACCCTTTCTTTTCACATGGGAGGAAGAAGATAAGAGTTAATCAAACCACTACTTAATCAAATCAATGGCTCAGATCTATTATGTACTCTTACCTCTCATGTGAAAAGGGGAGGTAAAACTAAGAGAGACCATACTAAATTTTGCCATAAATTAAACACCTCCAATTAGCTGGCCAGGAAACCCCCTATGGCATGCACCACACAAGTAAGAATCCCATTCACTACGCAATACCTAAAACATCAAATATTTCATAACACCCGCTCTATTTTGATGACAATATTCCTTGCAGACAAAAGGCAGAAGAAACTAGTGGGAGACTTGAACTTACCTGGAGTCAAGGCCCTGCAGGAATGAGAATTTGGGAAATCAGTGGTTGGGCTCCTCAGCGAGGAGAGGAGGATCCCATCCAAGCAACTTGACTTATATAGAAGAGGTCAAACCTGTTGGTGGCCAATAAAAGAATTTGAACTGATAACGGAAGTATAATAAACTGATGCCAATTTAATTAAATTGCCGTGCTATCGAAATAATATTAAATTGAATTAAACTGATGCCAATTTAATTAAATTGTGCAACTTGACTTATATATGCTGAAGTGAAATGGGGTGGGTACTGTATATAGTATAGCTAGGGCGCATGTGGTGGCAATTAATATTGTCCGGCCAATAAGGATGCAGCATATCAGGCTTCATTGTTGTAAATAACTCAATTGGCACATGATGATCCATCCATGCTCGGCCATGCACGTCATCATAATTTCACCCCTCATTTCCTGTTCCTTGGAAAAGAATATGTTGTGGTGCAGAAAGATTGACCCAGTCAATGAGGCAATCACGGACCTCACAATATTTCCACGCGCTTATCGCTTCCCTATGATCAACACAGACATTATTTTTCCACAGTTGTGTGGTCCATGGCTCCAATAATGTTCCCAGCATATTCTTCTTACACGCGAGCCAGACTTTTTAGTCCCTGCACCATCTAGTGTATTCACCAAAAGCCACGCTCTACAGGTACATGATACCACCTCTCAGAAAGTAACCATGTCCTAAGATAAAATTCCCCTACTCCAGATGATTGGGCATTGTTGCCGCATGCATCTTTCCGATGCAGACGCCGGGAATGTCCTCCTTTTCAAAAAAAAAAAAAGAAGAAGAAGAAGATGATTGGGCATTGGGAAATCTCTCGTCATAATTTGCGCCCATTTCCTTTTCGCCGAGAAAGAGTATTTTGGAGTGGTGCTGAAAGATTGAGCCAGTCGGAGGCAAGTCACGGACCACACCATTTCTTCCACACGCTTATCTTATCGACAAAGACGACTTTGTCGACACTTCTTACAGGAGAGCCAGGCTGTAAAAGGCCTGCACGCAGCCCTTGTTAACCTGAAACTGAAAGAAACCCTCTTGGCACGCGGTTGCTACCTGCATGCGGAGTACCCATGTCTTCTTCCTGAGATAAAATCCCCTTCTCATCACGCACTGGGCAACATCTGAAACTTGCCACCAGTTTGCCGCACTGCAGCAGGGCTTCTCAAGGTAATCAATAATAGCGTCTCTTGTTCCGAGACCTGCTTCTTGATCGTCTTTACTCTTTAGAATTTTCTAGACCAGCAGTCATCCAGACTGGCATCTTTGATCGAAATTAATCCCATGTGAACAGAAATTCTGGCAACACTACTTCGTGCAAATGTTTTTTTATGGGAATCTCTTTGCTTCAAACAAACTATATATGAGTTTTTTGTGGATTCTGTTATTTGGATTCAGAACCGTATGAATTTTCGATATGGATGTTGTTCCAAAATGAAACTATGAGGCAACCAAACTATACCTATGACATATTCATTTGTTTTAATTCCTATGAGATGTCCACCAACTTCTGTCTTGTAGGTAAATCTCGATTACTGGAACTTAACATTTCCAGGAATTGTGTTATGCTAGAAAAATCACCAATTAACTTCGACACAAGTCGAAGAAAACACCATCATGGCAAACTCCACCAAGGAAGAAATAACCTCAAGGGGATCGATCCCAGTAGCCTGGGAAGGAGGGAATTCACTGAACCGCGGATACATGACAATGGACGCCGGTGTTAAGTTCAGGGAGTTCAGATCTAGTGTGCAAGAGGTCCTTAGAACGAAACTGCTAGATCTAGTACTACCTAGCTAAGGCTGCATAGGGGATGTGAGGGGACCCTCGGCCAGATTGTGACCAACGGCAGCCATAGAGGGGAGGGATGGGGCCGATCCCATTTTCAAGGATACGTCAAGAATGACGTATCGAGATCATAAATAGAAGATGCCAAGATGACAGAACATTCGTTTACGGATTACCCACTGCTGCACCAGCTAACACACCGCATGCTAACTACTCGCTACTACTCAAGCGATCTACCCTAAACGGGAGTGATCTATCCCGCCTCCCACAGCAGCCCCGCTGCCCTCCATTTCTAACCCTCTGTGTCGATCTGCGCGAGCATCGTGTCAGCAGAAGGCGATGCGCCATTTAAGACGATAACGTTCCTGTGTTTCCGCAGGGTCCAAGCCACAAGAGTGATCACCGTCCAAGCTTCCTTCCTCATCTTCTTGTGCATGTTCAGAGATGTCCACCGGTCCACCAGCTATGCCTCATGGTCAGGCGTCTAGTGGGCTTGCCCCACTAGTCTGTGATGGCCGATCAGACCTGTCGAGCGAGAACGCACCCAAGTAACAGGTGATCGATCGTCTCGGGCACTTGGTCACAGAACGGGCATGCCGTCGGATGTGGTAGCAGCTGTCGCTGTAGTCGGTCGGATGTCGAACATCGCTTCTTTGCCGAAAGCCACGAAAAGACCTTGCATGTTGCCCGTGCCCTTGATTTCCTCAGTCCACCCAACAAAGTGTGCACGGTAGGCTGATCGTGCAGAGAACAAACCATCTCCTTCCCAAATCCAAACAATCTTATCTTTGACTCCATCCGCTAGTTCCACAGACCAAACTCGATCGACCAATGTGAGGAATTCATGAATTGCCCGGGCAGACATGTTAGGCGTTACGTCACGCCACACTCTCCTGATATAGCTTGGCTCACCGTCCTAACCTTGATCACGGTGTTCTTGACCACACTGAACAAGTTGGGCATGATATCCTGGATGCGCCCCTCCCGAAGCCACCAATCCGTCCAGAACAAAGTTGTCAAACCCTCACCAATGTTGCACTTGGTGGCTGCTCTGTAGATGACCATTGAGTCCGATGACACTTGTACACCGCATTCAGCACACGGGCTGTCTGGGTCAGTCCTCGCAAGCCACGACCATCTCGACCTTAGAGCCATGTTGAGTAAACGCAGGTTGGGCACACCCAGGCCACCGTACTCCTTAGGCGAGCAGACTAGGTCCCAGGCCACCAAGCAGGGCCCTCCATGCACGTCCCGACGCCCCAGAAACCTCTGGATATTTTGTTAGCAGCTTCGATTGCCCTCAGATTCGATCACATCAAACTAGATGAGCACGCGCGCACGAAATTTTTTGATAGCCAAGGGACTTTGTCGTGCCCTTTGGTTTTTCCTCTTTATTGCTTTTCTATTTTTCTGGTGTTACAAACCTTAACCCTTGTACATGTATATATATATGCACGCACGGACCTGGCTAGCAAACCTAGCCGGACAGCTAAACTAACTTGGCCTTGGACTTGATTACAAAACCAACACGTTCTGCCTGGACTCGTCTACGTACTACTACGTATAACAAACGGCAAGCTATCTAACCTAGCTTAGTCAAAACCGGGCAAGTAGTAACTACTATCATGTAGACAATTACCTTCTGTGCTTCTTCGATCTTGAGTTATCCGCTTGTTGACTTATCCGCTTGTTGATGATTCACCCCTTGTTGACTTATCCGCTTGCACCATGACAAGTTAAATTGATAGGCTTCGCAACAATCCCTCCTCAATTTTTACTTGGCAAATTTACGGATCACCTCAAATATGCAATGAACTACCCAACCTCGCTAGCGACCTTGTGAAATACACCACCCCGTGAACTTCACCATCCACCCTAGCGAGATACATGCCGACTACTTGTGGATCACACCACCATGTGCACTACACCATGCACTCCAGCCTCATGTAGAGACATGGCCTCAATCAAGAGACTAACCTTCATCGATTTACCGACCCACATACTTAAGTTGATCCTCTCGTCGAGACACATCGATGAGCACATAGACGATCTGGACACGCTTCATCTTCAATGCCTCCTCGCAGAGACGAGCACTTGGACATGGCGACGCTGACACGACGGCGACCGAAATATGCTAACCCGCACGACTCCTTGACTCTAATTAACTCCCGAATGACGATCTTGACGACTTTCCGGCACCGCACCACCACGCCATCGCTCCCGTCAAAATGATCTCCATCCGTCGCCTTGCCGATGACAGACTGCCGTCTCCCTCCTTGTCGCTTCGCCGAATGACGATCACTTGTTCCTCCTCTTCACTGCCTCACCCAACAACTTCATGGCCCGCCCCGAGGCGCTAGTCGGGTCGCACTCCTAGGGCAAGTGCGGCTACCAATTATTGGGAATTCTGTCCTTAGAATCGATCACATCAAACTAGGTGAGCACGCGCGCACCAAAACTTTTGATAGCCAAGGGTCCTTGTCGTGCCCTTTGTTTTTCCTCTTTATTGCTTTTCTATTTTTCCTGGTGTTACAAACCTTAAACCTCGTACATGTATATATATACACGCATGGACCTGGCTAGCAAAACCTAGCCGGACAGCTAAACTGACTTGGACTTGGAGTTG